CCTAAGAAAGTCTGGAAAGACATATGCTAATATGAAAATACCAATACTTTTTTTTTTTTTTCCTGGGTGATATCTATGAGTAATCATTACCTCTTCATTGTTTTCCATATTGTAAAATAGTCTGTAATGACTGTATATGACTGCTATATGTTGCCTTTGGACCTTAGGTGCAAATAATTAAGAATTAACTCCTTGGCCAAGCGTGGTGACTCATACCTGTTATGCCACCACTTTGGGAGGCTGAGGTGGGAGGATGGCTTGAGTCTAGGAATTTGAAACCAGCCTGGGCAACATAGCAAAACCTCATCTCTACAAAAAAATACGAAAAGTTACCCAGGCGTGGTGGCATGCGCTTGTAGTCCTGGCTACTCGGGAGGCTGAGGTGGGGAGGATTGCTTGAGCCTGGGAGGTGGAGGCTGCAGTGAACTGTAATCATGCCACTGCACTCCAGCCTGGGCAATGCAGTGAGACCCTATCTCAAACAACAACAACAACAACAACAACAACAAAAAACAAAGAACAAACAATAAAGTTTGTACAAGGGCAGCAAGTGAAGACCTTTACCCAGAAGTCTGTAAGGACAGTAGGGGGTGTCAGATGCCAGGCCATGCCACTGTCCAGGAACCAAATGCAAATTGTTCACCGTCTCACTTGGCATGAGGGGCAGTGACAGGAATATTGGTTAGTTTGTTTGTCCTTGGAATATTTATTTGGGTTATAACTCTCAGCGAGATTCCAGCTACTGGACTTATAGGCTTCGAATAGCGCATCACCAAGAGTGGTCACTAACGAATGTGAAACCAACCAAAAGAAACCACCATCTTGGCATGCATCTGTGTGTTAGTTTCCTTTAGTGCCACTATAAAGTACCAACAACTAGGTGGCTTAAACAACAGAAATGTACTGTCTTGTAGCTCTGGAGGTCAGAAATCCAAAATCAAGGTGTTGGCAGGGTTGGTTTCCTCTCATGGCCCTAAGACAGAATCTGTTCCATGCTTCTTTGTCAGCTTCTGGTAGCCTCAGGTGTGCGGTGGTTTGTAGATGGCCACCTTCTCCTGGTGTCTTCACGTTGTCTTCGTATGTGTTTGTCTCCGTCCAAATTTCTCTTTTTTTTTTTGGAGACGGAGTCTTGCTCTGTCGCCCAGGCTGGAGTGCAGTGGCCGGATCTCAGCTCACAGCAAGCTCCGCCTCCCGGGTTCACGCCATTCTCCTGCCTCAGCCTCCAAGTAGCTGGGACTACAGGCGCCCGCCACCTCACCCAGCTAGTTTTTTGTATTTTTTTAGTAGAGACGGAGTTTCACCGTGTTAGCCCGGATGGTCTCGATCTCCTGACCTCGTGCTCCGCCCGTCTCGGCCTCCCAAAGTGCTGGGATTACAGGTTTGAGCCACTGCGCCCGGCCCAAATTTCTCCTTTTCATAAGGACAGCAGTCATTTTGGATTAGGGTTCACGCTAGAGACCCAACTCGATATCCTCTGTGAAGACTCTACCTCCACGTTATCTTGAATCATCTTGGTGTGTTGGAAAGAACATGGGCTTTGCAATTATACCTGTGTTTGAATCCTGGCTTCACCACTTACTGGTGAGTGGTGACTGCCTTGAGAAAAGTCATGTAATTATTCAGGACTTGTTTTCTCATCCCTATAGTGAGGATGCAATGTTGCTGTGAGGATTAGAGATACTGTAGAACGTGCTGGATAAGTGGAGGCTGTTACCACCTATAAGCTGAGGGCCTTTGCTTTTCAAGGTGAAAAGTCTATGAATAAATACACCTGTAAGAGAATCTAATGGGGAGATTCTTGGACGACAGGGATTTCATCTGTGAACCAGGTCAGCTGGCATCTGTACCAGAGTCCTTCCGGCCTACATGTGGTCACTTGTTTGGAGCCAGCTGTAATTTACAGGTTACGTTTTTAGGCGAAGCCTGTGTAAAACCATTTTATAGCATTCCAACCTGGATATGACATTCACTGACCAATGTTGTCCAAGGCTGGGGAAAAAGGGGGTGCAGATTTCTAGATACGAAGACCAGCGATGCCTTCTATTCCCACACGTTTATAATCTCAAGATTCTGCCCTACTCCGATGATCTTCTGGGTTGATTTGAACTGAAGACAAAGACACATATCTTGAGACATTGTCATATTCTGTTCCGGTTACCTAAGAAGATTAACTATGCAAGTTTCTTCCATTACCAGGAATAAAACTTTGAGTAAAATTTAATTTAGTACTAAAGGTTGCAAATGCTGACGTGCTCTGATAGAAGCCAAAGCTTGGTGAACGGGGTGGGGGCAGGAAGAAGAGACCCGGGAGCAGAGAGGAAGGAGTTGGTTGTATAGGTGGAAGTTTGAGCTTGGGAGGAACCAGGTAGCGACCTCTCCTCTGAATAAGGGGCGCTCTGGGCCACTTCCTCTTTCTTCAAAACAATTAAGTTGACCGTGGACTTTAATCACATTAGCAGGGCAATTTTGAAACAATAATCCGAAAGAACTTTTGCCCGTTACGGCAACCTTTTTTTTATATTATGGAGATCAGTCTGAAAGCAAGCTATTTGCCCGATTACTTTTTGACCAATTTATTTTCGGTTTAGTCAGGTTTCTTTCCAAGTCTGTGCTAATCTGAATGGCTACCTTAGTAATTACTTTTTGACCAATTTATTTTCGGTTTAGTCGGATTTCTTTCAAAGTCTGTGCTAATCTGAATGGCTACCTTAGTATATCAATGTCCTAGTAACTGTAGCAAGGACATTTTTGCTGGAAATCATTTAAAGCAGGTGTCTTTGAGTCATGTGGCATACACAGGGGTATTTACTGCTAGTTTTTTACACCTAATATCGTTTATAAGATTTTATCTGTTGCTACTATATTTGTGAGGTTTATGAAAAAAATTGGTTATGAACACTATCACAAGGAGGCAAAATCAAGCTTAGAAATCAATTAGTGACTCTGCTGTAAAATAGTACACACACACACTTTTTTGAGCTATACATTTATTAAATGCCATTAGAGCTGGTACAAAATACAATTTTTAGCTGGTGGCTCTATGCCGGTTACAACGCAGCCAGCATGGCATACTTGGGTTTTCAAGCCTCAGGAGCTTACCCAGCAATACATAGGCAGGCAGAAAGGGTTGACAGAATAAAAATCAGCGAAAGCCAGGATATTAATAAAGAGTTTTGATGGTTAAGGACAAGTAGGTAAATTAAGACGCTGGAAACCGAGGAGCTGCACAGAAAAGAAAACCAGGGAGCTGGACGACAAGGACACAGTAACAGCACAAGGGGATTTATCTAAGGGGCATTCCGATGGAGCAGGCAGGCTGCGCCCAGAAAGGTGGGGAGGGGTTGGAAGCAGATGGGCAGGGACGGGCGAGCGTGCACAGCCTGAAAAAGTTTTCATGATGGCTCCAGCCTAATTTCCCAACGCTGGTCTCGGGCGCCACAAAACCCGAGCGGCCCGACCGGAGCCGGGTGCCAGCCTCAGGGCCGCCGGGGCCCGGCGCAGCGTCCGGAATTCCTGCGATGTCTGGGGCGCGGCGGCGGCTCCTCCCCGCCCCCACCGCGGCCTCCGCCGGCATTTTCCGGCGAGGAGGCCCGCGAGCCCTTCGAAGAACCGGCTCCACGCGCGGCCGGCTGCGGCCGGCGCGCTTCCCGGGGAGAAAGGCGAGCGCGGCGTCCGGACCGCGGTGAGAGACCTCCAGGCCCGGGCGTGCGGGGTGGGCTTCCCGGGTCCCTGCCCTAAAGACGCGGCGCCCTGACCCTCCCCCGCCGCCGCCCGGGGCAGCCCTCCCCTCCCCCCGGCGCGGGCGGGGCTGCGGGCGCCAACGCGGAAGCGCGGGGCGCTAGGGCTGCGGGGGCGGCGGCGCGGGAGGCCGCGCGCGCTCCCCGGGCCGCAGTCGGCGCGGGCGCGGGGCGGGGCGAGGCGGCCGGGAGGCGGCGGGCGCTCGCGCACAGGCCTGGCCGCCGCCTCGCCCCCCCTTCCCCAGTCCCTACCCTCTCTCGGCCTAGCCGTCCCCCTCCTCTCCCCTCCCCCGGGCGAATCACGCGCCCTCCTCTGACACTCGTAGCGGGCCCGAGCTCCGAATTTATCCTTCACGTGACCTGAGGGGGTTGGGTGGTTGGCTGGGGACGGAGGGGGAGACGGAAAGGAGGGAACGGAATCTGCCGTTACCTGAGCAACAGGCCCCGCCCGCCGGATCGGGGCCGGGGGGCGGGAGGAGGACGTCAGCACGTCAGCCGGGGTTTTGCGTTTTGATTGACAGTTGCTATAGCGACCGGGTCGGTCCGTCGCCATTTTGTTGGTTGGTTTTTTTTTAAACCCTTTCGCTTCCCGCCCGAATAATAATAAAAAGCCCCATTGGAGTGAGGCGGGGGTGGCGGCGGCAACCGCGGCGGGGGTATCCGGGGAGACTGCTGCCGTCGCTGCTGCTGATCGCGGCCCAGGTCGGGCTCAGGGAGCGGACACCCCGAGCGGGGGGTGCGGGCGCCGCCGCCGCCGCTTCTGCTGCTGCTGTTCCTGCTGCTGCTGTTGGTGCCGCTGCCGCCGCCGGCGAGCGGGCGGGACCGGTGTGAGTGCGAGTGTGTGCGAGGGAGCGTGTGCGAGGGCGAGTGTGCGCGCGAGTGTGCGGGTGTGTGCGAGTGTCTGTGTGTCTGTCTGTGCGGGGACTCGGGGGCGGGCGGTTCGGGCTCTCCTGGCGGAGGAGCCGCCGCCGCCGCCCGGGCCCCGGCGCTTCTCGCTGCGCAGGTTCGGAGCGCGCGCCATTTTGTGAGATTTACAAAATCCTCCTCGGGAAGAAGCCGCCGGCAGCAGCCGCCGCTCGGCGCCCGGTCTCGCCGCCGCCGCCCTCTGTGCCGGGCCGGGCCGCGCGGCCCCGCCGCCGGGAATCGGGGCCCGGGGACTGCGGTATTTGCCGGGGAGGGGGCTGTCGCCTCCCCGGCCCCGGGCGCCGCTGGAACCGCGAGCCGAGGAGAGACTGAGCAGGCTGCGGCGCGGCCAGGAGCCGGAGCGGCGGGGGCGGAGAGAGGCGGCCGGGGCGGCGCTGGCTGCGGAGGCCGCGGCGGGAGCGGGAGCGCGGCGCGGGAGCCCGAGGCTGAGACTCACCGGAGGAAGCGGCGCGAGCGCCCCGCCATCGTCCCGGTGAGTGTCCGGCCCGGCCGCGGCCCCGCCCGGCCCGGCGCTCGGCTCCCCCGGCGGCCCGCAGCCGGGCCCGAGCCGAGGGCGGCCGGGCGGAGGGAGGGACCTGCCATTTTAGGAGGAGGCGCCGCGGGCCCTGGGCCGGCCGCTGGGGGAGGGAGCCTCAGGCCCGGTCCCAAAGGAGCGGCGGGCGCGAGCGGAGGGAAAGTTGCGGAGGGTGGGAGCGGGGGCCGCGGCCTCCCGGGAGCCGGGGCCTGGGGGGTCGTAGACAGCGCCAGACCTTCACTGGCCGCCCGAGCGAAGGGGTGGAGGTTGTCTTCCTCCTCCTCTTCCTCCTCATCCTCTTCCCCCAGCTCCTCCCTCGTCCCTCCTCTCGGTCCCCACCAGTGTGGGAACCGCCGGGGTGCTTCGCAAGGACAATGCACGGGTTAAGAAAATGGGGCCGGCTGGGCGAGGACGGCGGGGCCGGGCTGGGCGCCGGCGAAGGTCGGGAGCCGCTGCCTCGGCGGCCCTGGGGGTCCGCGCCTGAGCGAGGGGCACTCACTGGTCTCCGAAGTTGGGCGGGGAGCGCGAGTGTCCCCGGCGGCTGGGGGTGGAGGGATGACCTGCCCGGCAGCCGGGGGAGTTGGTGGCTGAGGAGAGGTGAATTAGAATGGATACCTGTGTATCGCCACAAAACTTCACGAGTCTATTTATAGGCACAAACCCACTCTCGCTTCGGAGCCACCGAAGCTGCTGAGCAGTTCAGCTCTTGGCGAAAGGCTCCTCCCTAATCTGAAATAGTTAAAAATGGTAAAATTAGTGAGTCAGTGACTTCGGTTCCTTGCCTGTGCCTTTAGCCCAACCCTAGGTGACACGAATCCCGTAATCTAGGCGCAGCGCAGGAATGCCAGCACCATTTGGTTCTTGAATTCCGCCTAAATTGTCAGAAAATACGTCTTAGAATATGGTTTTCACAAGTGCCAGGCGCTGTTCTCAGGGTTTTCCGTGGAGCGACCAGCTTGCCCAGCCGGTAGGAACTGTTCCCATTTTACAGATGAGGAGACTGAGCCTGGAGAAGGGGCACTGACTGGTCTGAGGTAATACAGCTGGGACTCCAGGAGCCAGGAAGCTGTAGCCAGTCTGGACTTGTGAATCACTAGGGTGTAACTTATTATTATAAATACTGGCAAATTTTGGAATGATTCGTATGTAATGACTCAGGGTTCTAACCTAGAGATTGTGTCCCCGTATGGTTTTTAGCATGGAATTATTAACCTTTGTGGCTTGCCGAGGCCGAAAGGTAAGGTGATGGTAATGAGCCCTCTTAATGAAACTTTTCCGTCCTTTTTTTCCCCCCAAGAAAACTATGTAGTCAATTTTTGAATGAAAGGAATTAAAAAGTATTCCTTGGTGTGTTTTGTACTTCAAACTTAATTTTGATTAAAATCATCTTCTAAGTATTGATGAGTCATCAGAAAGTTTTGTGTGAAGTTATTTTTAGTTATTTTATTCTTTGCTTAAGAGCCTCTGTGACCCCTTTATACTTTGTGTCCGAAGTTAATATATTTAGTATTTTGATTTTGAGGTGTGTTAATAATTCAGTGGAATTACCTTTAGTTTTTGTTTTCTTAAATTTCTCGTATCTTGGTTTTCAAGTAGACTTTTAAAAATGTGAGACTAGAACTAAAGTTTCATGTGCTAAGGTTTTAAACTGCAGAAGATCATTTCAAAGCAACTGGTTATGAAAAAAGCTTACTTGATTGTAGTTAAGATTTTTTATGTATACTTCAAGTATCCCAGTACTTTCGGAGGATTTTCCCTGGTATAGCAGTGGTGTTTATGGTAGCTGTCCAAATTTATTTAAGACTTCAAACCATGCTAGAAGGACTCCTGTCAATGTCTACACCTAGTTCTCTTGTAAGACTAGTTGTAAACATTTCATTTTTACCTCAAGACCTCAGAGATTAGTAAAGGAGGAAGGATCACCCCTTGTGTTTGCACCATGAAGGCACACTCCTTTTTACCTGGTGGGTGTTGGAGAAAGGTTTGAAGGAATAGACTTGAATGAATGGTAATTATTGGTAGGGATGAGAAATGGACCAGATGACCTAGTGAGATCTTTTGTTATTGTTAGGAATTTGAGATCTAAGTGTAAGATCATCTATTAAACCTTTTAACGATATTTTGGTGGAACCTGTTAGAAACTTAACGCATTATTGTGTGCAAGAGATTTAAAAATAAGTCCCGTTTTTTAGAGGCACTAACATTTAAGATAATGTAAAACATTCTATATTAGTGCAATGTCTTGTTAGGGAATGTGGACAGTAAAAACGGCCATTTGTTAAAAGTTTTTTTCCCCTCTAAAATATTGTCTGATGTTTGCTCCTCGGTGTTATTTATGGAGAGTTACTATTATGGAGATTTACTGTTCATGACTTAAAGATATGGCGGTGGAGAGGCCTAGGTAACTGCAACAATGTATTTAAGTAATTTACTTTAGGTTTTTAGAGTGCTATGAATGTTTATCTGCAAAAGGAAAATTCAAGATACCTTGTTATAAACATGGTATACAGTGACCTTTGGCATGCATTTTGTTTTGTAACTACACAAAGTGTTAATTTGGATTGAGTCTTGGTTTTCACTTGAAAACCATTTTTTTTAAAAAAGAAATAGCTTAGAAATTTAGACTGCCTGGGGTGTTTTCGTGTGTCTGTTTATGGTTGACAGGTATCTAGTTAGGAGAAGAAAATGTGGATAGAATTAACTGTACTATAGGTGAGAAGGGAATTGCCTTATATATGCCACTAAACACAAGATTTAGAGTAAGAGTGGACTTCACTTGTGACTTTCTTGGTATTTGTGATTAGGTGTGTGCCAGTTTGTCTTTGCTTTGGCATTAACTTTCCTCGTATTTCAGAGGGCTTTCAAATTTCCTATACACATACAGGAAACAGTTTCACCCCCTCCAAGAAAAAACTTACCTAAACCCAGCAAAAACCAAAAACTTCCAGAAAGTCTTTATCAAGAACTTAGTTCCTCATCTGCAAAGTTGTATTAATCTTATTTTGTAGTAATCATAAGCAGTTATTTAACTGAACTAAGAATCTTTACTTTCTGTTGAGTGTTTTGGTGATTTTACTTCCATATATGTTCGTCTATTTTCTATTTTAAGTAAAGATGTTACGTGAAACTATTAGTTATGTTTCCTGAAACTTGATACTAACAGTTTGCCCTGTGAAAGTGAATTACGTGACCAGTATAATAGCACCTTATGTATATATAGTGGTTTCGCCTTTTAAAATACTTTTTACCAGATGGTATCTTGACTGTTGGGCAATTTTCTGATGGCTAGAGAAGTGGTAATTTATAACCCAAAGCTTGCTCAACTTTGGATTAAAAAGTTTGGAGAGTTAAAATTTGTGTTTAATTACTTCGAAAAATCAGCAAATTATGCTCCCAAATGAAGATAGCTTTTTGAAATCTTGCTTTATGTCAGTGCTACAGTGTTAAGCTAGAGTTGTAAAGTTTACCATAGAGTGAAAGTGAAATGTAGACCTCATGTGACTAAAATAATAATTGAAGGTTCATACTGGGTAATTGAAGACAGATTTTATTTCTTAATGTTCTGGCTACAAGCAGCCTTAGTTTGATTTTTTTTTTTTGTATATGAAAACAAAATGATTTGGAAACATTGCATTGTATAAGCCAGCTAGGTGTTTAAAAAGTTAAGCTTTTGCTTTGGAATCCTACTACCAGAGTGCTAAAAGGAGTGAGAATTGTTTATTGGAGATAATACCCTCTATTGAACACCTGAAGTGGTGTGGTTTCTCCTGGGCATATGTTTTGCTAATGCAGAACCATTTTGGTGTCTTGGCAATTGTTTTTTCTAACAGAGCTATGTATCTTTCCTTCTCTTCTAGAAAGAGATGTTTAAAAGTTTGTATTACTGTTAAAACTTAAGTTTTGACAAGTTACATACTTTTTTTTTTGGTTTGGGGCAGATGCTCATATCTGATATACAGTGAGTAATAGCTTAAAATGTGTCTTTGTTCTTGTCAGTGAATATCCTTGTTTTATCTCCCCATGTTAGAAAAGTTTGTTTTAATTGATTTTTTGGGGGTGGGGGGAGCCCAGTGAACTGGCTTATCATGGAGTGAAACTGGCTTTCAGCATCAACTCTATTTTAAATAACATCCCTGTTCATTAAATAATTCCCTAATTTTTCTGAGTGTATGAAATTTCCAATGACAAGATTTGATTTTTTAATTTTTAAAAGAGCGTTCACAAAAAACTTTTCTGTATTATCTATATTATTTGATACTATAGAGCCATTTTGGCATCTTGGCAGTTGGTTCTTCTACCAGAGCTATGCATCTTCTGGGTTTTTCACAAAAGCTTTTGCATGTGCATAAAATGTTATGGACATGTATGGTTAAGGCATGCATCTTGGCATCCATGTATTTGGGTAAAAAGATGCTTGAAGCCAGTCATGGTGACTCACGCCTGTAATCTCAGCACTTTGGGAGGCCGGGGTGGGCGGATCGCTTGAGGCCAGGAGTTCGAGACCAGCCTGGGCAACATGGTGAAACCCTGTCTCAAAAAAAAAAAAAAGCCAGGCGTGTTAGTGCGGCCTGTAGTCCAGGAGGCTGAGGTGGGAGGATCACTTGAGCCTGGGAGGTGGGGGTTGCCGTAAGCTGAGATTGTGCCACTGCACTCCAGCCTAGGTGACAGAGTGGGCACTGTCTCAAAAAACAAAACAAAAAACTTGTGACATCTATCTGTCTGCTCGCTATCCAGTTATAGACAGCAGTTGAGGCAGCTTGATACTGCGGAAAGATCCCCTGCCCATGAAACCGTGAACAGAGGCTCCAGAGTCTGGCTGATCTGATTCTCAATAGGTTCTGTTGACTGTATGACTTCAGGCACAGTGATTTCACCAAACATCAGTTTCCTCATCTGTAAAATGAGGTTGATAGTAATTAGCACAGGAATCTTGTGAAAATTGAGAATTGAGATAATGC